TAGCGTAACCTAATTGTGATTAGGGCGGGTTACTCAAAACCTCTACCCTTCTTTTTTCTCTCAAAATGGATCCATCCCTGATACCGTATTTATTCTAATCAGAGTTGCGTCGTAATTGAAAATTTTTTCGTAATCGTAATTCCTAATTTAAAAAAAATTTCGGAATCGTAATTCGTAATCCGTAACTCAAAAAATGCCGTAATTCGTAATTACGACGCAACCCTGATTCTAATATAACTACTTGTCCCTCTTCTACAATGTCGTTATGATAGAGACTGTCGTTATAATAGAGACTGTCTTATTAGAATAAATACGGTATCTACTGAGCCCGGATCAGAGCTGCACGCAATTGAAAAAAAATTTTCCGCAGACGCAAATCCGCAAATGCGTGCTGCCCTGGCCCGGATATAAGGGCGGGCATTATCTAAAAAATTTTTTGACATGGAATTTTATTTTTTTTTTAATTTTTAAAAAATCACTTGAGTTTCAAATTATTTTTTAAATATTTTTTGAATATTCCCTCATTTTCTTAAAAATCCATTTTTTGATTTTCTCGATGAGTTTATCTCTCTTTTAATAGAATTTTTCTAAAAGCTATCTTCAATCTTTAATTCTTTATTTTTTTTTATAAATTCAAGGTTAATTCTTTCATTAATTTTTACTTATTTATTTATAAAATTAATTTAAACAAAACACATCCAGTTTTAGAAAATTTTTTTTAAATTTTTTATTACTGTTTATATATTTTTTATATTTTAATAAACAATCTTCTTTAATTTCCAAAAACAATTTTTATTGTTTTGTTTTTTATTAATTTGATCTTTTTTTTTCTGTTTTTATTTTTTTAATATGACAATTCAAAATATTTATTTTTTTTCTTAAACGTTTTTTTTATTTTACAAACTTCCTTTAAAAAGAATTAAACAAGGACCTAAAAATTATAAAAAAATTTTAGGAACCATACTAAACCATACTAGGGAACGTTTAAAAATATTTATGACTTAGTAGTTCTTTCCGTGGATGTCACGGGTGTCCGGTACCCGTAACCAGGATTTTTTTTAACACGTAACTCGAAACCCGAACTGAGAACTTTTCCAAGACTAGACTCGATTTTCTCAACTTGTGAAATTCTTGGCCTTTAGCAGGGAACGAGCCGTTCCGATTCCCGAAAATAGGGAATTCCCAACGTTTTTTAGGACGGGATTTAGATTTTTCGAAATCTGGAATTCCCCATTTTTGGTCAGGAGTTCCGAATTTCATTTCTATGTCGGCTCATTCCCTAGTCCTTACTAACCCTTCTGATTAGACGTTTGGCTTTATGCTTGAGACTTGATTGAAATGGTCTTGAGGATCAAGCTAAATACATAATAGAAAACTAGAAGAATTTCACTTCTCGGGGTAACCTCAATTTTTGATCTAGATCTTATCTTCCATCTGTTCTCTGATTTTTTACACACCTCTATCAATTCTTATATTTTCCTCTATTTTTTATTCCACTTTTTCAGCTTCTCCAAAAAGCCCCTTCTTGTTCTTCAAAAAAAAGTATTTGACAAAAATGTTTTCCTCTAACATATAATAATAATAATTTTTTTCATATAGGTTGATTCATTTTTTGTCAGGCCAAAAAAAATATAAGGGTAAGAAAAAAAGCGGTAAACGAATATGAAAAAATTCCTTTCCTTACCTCATGCATTCCTTTAAAACATTTTTTATTCATAACACTTTAATTTGTAAAAAAAATTTTTGAAAGTCATTTTTATCAATTCCAAGCATTAAAATAATTGTTCATGCAATAAATATTCATTAAGCCTTATTTTGTGTAGAAAATTTTATAGGAGAAATGACAATATTATTCTCAAATCTTTCCTTGATCCTTCCTTGGATCCTTCCTCGATCCTTACTTGATTCTTACTTGATCCGCCTTCGAATCCTCCTCACTCACTAGCAATTGAGGGAACTCGGGGAAACGGACTTAAGGTTCTTCCTTGATCCTTCCTTGATCTGTCCTTGAATCTCACTAACAATGGGGAGGGAGCTCGAGAAAGGGTCTTCTCTTGAGGGCAATGCCAAGAGCTTGGAGTTGAAGATTTTTCACAAAGGGGTTGACTAGGGTTCTCGGCAGAGTCGTTCGGAATTCCGATTTGCGACATTTCCAATTCCAGATACCTTCGTCATTTCCAACCGACCTCTGTTTCTCAGTTCGTAGCCGAAACCCCAAGCATCATTCGATTCCTTGGTTCGGTCCCGGATATCCGAAGATTTTCCATGAAGCGACCATCTTAGGTACAAACCTATTTAAATAGGCTTTCCGATTGCTTTTTTAAATAAATTACAATAAAATATAAAAATTGATTAGGCTGATTAAAACGTGATTTTTATGAGTCAATACAATATTTTTTTTTATTGTTACAAGCCAATCAAGCATCTTCTTCCTAAAAATAATTTTTTTTTATTTTAAACTTTTATTTTTTAATATTATCATTCTTTTCCTTTTAAACTTTATTTTCAATTAGTAGATCAAAAACTTATTATAAAATGCCAAATTGTGTCGCTGATTCTAATCCTAATACCAATTTTCTTTCACCAAAATCCATTCGTGATCGACGTAGTAAAAGCAGCGAATTTTATATTATACCAAATCAGAATGCTTCAACTACAATTCAATCAAAAATTTTGTTATCTACAGAAGGACAACAACAACAGCCTCTATTAGATAGAGTAAACCATTTTGTAGAAAATTTTGGGGTGCCAAAGAAAAGCTCAAAACATGGAAGTTTTTACAAAGCTTCATCTTCCACCGGTTCATCTTCCAACAATTCATCTTCCGGTTCGTCTATGGGATCAACAGATTCTTCAACTTCTGTCCCTTCTTCATCCTCTTCTGTTGTTTATCATCATTACCCTCCACATTATGTTGATGACGCCCGCCGTCCAAGTCTTCCATCAAACGCTTTCAATGAAGGAGGAATGCTTCTTCATTCTTCTTCATCCTCCTCTTCTACTGATTCCACTTCGTCCACAGCAGTAACAACATCCGAACCTGGCTCCTATTCTTCTTTACTTCGCACACTTCGAACCCAAGCAGCTTCGGGTACTCTCGTATCCGTACCTGAGCGTTCTCCTTCTCCACGTGCCCGATTTGTCCGTAACATTCGAAATACGCATAATAATAGGCGTCGACAACAACATCAACACCAGCTAGCACACTTTCAGCACTTACAGCGTCAACAAACACCTCCACCCCAAATTAATATAATATGTGGAGATATAGACGAAGAAGAAGGGATTGTTGAGAAGGAGGAGGAATGTGAGGATGAAGTTAAGGTTGGTTCTTCAGCAGTGGGTTCAGCTCCTATTGGTTCTGCTTCTGTTGGTTCATCTTCTGTTGGTTCCTCAACAATTGGTTCTTCTTCTCCTGTTGGTCCTTCAACAGTCTTGGGAAGCATTCAAAGAAGAAGGAAAAAGGAGTCAGTTGAAGAAGAGAATAAGGAAGATTCTAAGGAAGAATTTAAGGGAGACTTATTGGCAAACAGGTCTTCTGGTGTTGGTTCATCAACAGTTTATGGAAGTATTCAGAGGAGGAAAAAGGAAGGACAAAGCAAGGATTTGAAGAAAATAAATGAGGGAGAAATTAATGAAGATAGCAAGGACTTTTTAAAAAATTCACCAAACTCTTCCCCAAAATCTTCTCCAAAAGCTTCTCAAAAATTTTTACTTCCTCAAAAATCTTCATCCCCTACCCTAACTCGCGGAAAAGCTCAAAAAATGTCCCTCTTCTCCAAACTTGAATCATCAACTCCTAAAAATTGTAATAACAATATTAACAACTCTTCTCTTTCAATAAACTCCGCTTCAATTTCCGATTTTCGTGCAGCATTAATAGCTTCAAACAAACAACAAATTAATGAAGAGGAAGAAGTTGGTGTTGATAAAAATGTTAACAACAATAAAGAAAAAAATAATTTATTTTTTCCTCGCAATTGTGTTAGCAGCAATTTGAGAGAGAATAATACTAAGGGAAAAAATTTTTTTATTGACAATCATCATAATGTTGATGATTATCATAACGATTTGATAACCTTCAACAAAAATTTTATAAAATCTTCAACATCTCCCCCATTGTCCCCAACATCAATTTCTTCATTGCCGTTGTCTGCTTTTCCTCCTCCACAACGTTTGGGAACCTCAACAGCAACAACAACTTCCTCCTCTATTCACCAACAAAAACCACAACCCTTTGAAGCAACTACACCCCCCAAAAATAATCGTAGACGTTCTGGATTTGAAGGAATGTTAACTGGTGGGGGAGGTACTGAATGGCGTGTTTTTCGTCAAATGGCACGAATTTTGCGGCGCGATAACAATAATAATTCTCATCGAAGGGGTGATAGTTCAACTGTTTTTACTACTCAACAAAGCCCACCAGTTTCGCCATTTTTTGGCAATTGTGGAAATCGAAGGCGTTATTCTTTAGCGCCTTCAATGGAATCAGCAGCGGGAGGGCAATATGGTTTCTAATTTTTTAAAAAAATTTTAAGACGCTTGCTTAATTATCCTATAAGCTTAATAAACTTGTTTATCTTCAACCAAACTCTTAACTTTACTATAAGATAGAGTCAAACCTCGCTTGTACGAATCCATTACAGAAAGTATCTAACGCTCGAGTGTCGTATAAGTGAGGTCCGACTTATATTAAATAGAGGATATCGTCTAGATACCTCCTCTTCCCTCACTCTTTAGCCGACTAAATTTTGAAAAACTTAAATTACGAACTAAATTGATATGACATACATATGTTAGAGTTCCCATTACTACTTTAAAAACTTTAAATTTTATAAAAAATTTAAAAAAATTTCATGAAATTTATAAAAAAATTCAAAAAACTCAAAAAAAATTTGGAAAAAAATTTCAAAAAATTTTCAAAAACATTTTAAAAAGTCAAAAAAAAATTCAAAATTTCCAAAAAATATCTTTTAAAATTAGAAAAAAATTTTTTCAAGGCGATTTTATGAACAATATTGCCGATCAACAGCAACTTCTACAACAACAAAATTTATCTCAACACCAATCCTCTCTTCTACAAAGTCCAAGTTCAACAACTGCAAATGTTGGTAGTTCATCACCATTTTGTAGCCCAACATCAACAACGACTGATGGAATTTTTCATCATAATAATGGGCCGTCTACAGCCTCTTCAAACTTCTTTCCCCGTGCTCAACTACAACATTCTCGGTGGGCAGATTTGGAATTATGGACAGAACAAGAAACTAGTTGGACTGCGAAATATTGTGTTGGGAGTGATAATGAATGTAAGGGAATGGAAAAAATCTTCAAAAATATTTTTAGAATATTTAAGATTTCATGAGAGCCTAGCAGTAAAATTCATGGAGACCTAAGTAAGCTCACGGCCCTTAAGTCTGACAATAAAATCCAAGGGGAAGTAGAATTGTTTGATCAGTTAGCTTATCAGCTAGCCAACGATTTGGAGAGTCATTTAACGTTTAGTTTAGCTTGTAGAGTAGGAGGATTATTCGGAGAGTTAGTCATGAATCACCTACATCTTGTCTTTTAAATAGGCAGGGCTCCTATAAGTTCCGAAAATCAGCTGGCTCCAAAGGGATGTAGGATTGTTTGGTTAGTTAGCTGATCAGCTACCCGACGATTTGAAGAGTCAGTTTATCTTGTGAGTTGGATGATTAGTCGGAGAGTCAGTCATGAATCACTTTCTCCAGTATCTTAAATAAGCAGGGCTCCTATAAGTTCCAAAAATCAGCTGACTTCAAAGGGAAGTAGGATTGTTTGGTTAGTTAGCTGATCAGTTAACCAGCGATTTGGAGAGTCAGTTAGCTTTTAGTTAGAGGATTATTCGGAGAGTTAGTCTTGACTCACTTTCTCCATATTGTATTTAGCAGGGCTCCTATAGGTTCCGAAAATCAGCCGACTCCGAAGGGAAGTAGGATTATTTGATCACTTAGCCGATCAGCTAGCCAACGATTTGGAGAGTCAGTTAGCTTTTGAATTGGAGGATTATTCGGAGTGTTAGTCATGAATCACTTTCTACATCTATCGTAAATATAGGCAGGACTCATATAAGTTCCGAAAATCAGCTGGCTTCAAAGGGAAGCAGGATTGTTTGATGTATTAAGTACCTTCTACTTGAACTCATTTTAGCTAAATTTTCTCAAGTCCCCAAATTCTTTTATTCTAATAAAATTTTCTCAATTTTCAGTTTCTTCATTAAGTGCAAAAGAGATGAAACGTCAAAATATTATTTATGAGCTTGTACTAACCGAGCGTCATCATTGCCAAGTATTAGTATTATTACAACAATTATATTATGAGGGACTAGCACATAATAGAATTTTGACACCAAAACAATTACAATTGGTAAATTTTAAAAAATAAATTTTTTTTGAATGATTTGCGGACACAGTTGCGGACAACAGAATCAAAAATAACTTTTAGATTTTCTGAACCTTTAAATTTTTGTTGGCAATCATTGGAATGGGTTTAGATATTTTTATTTGTTTTTGAAAAGATTTCCAATTTTATAAACCAACACCAAAAGGATTTTTCTAACAAAAACAGTCCGTAAACTTCCAGTTTGCAAATGCTTAAAGTGTTAGGCAAAAGGCGATATTCTATTTAAATTTGTTAGATAACGCAAGATTTTTTGGGATTACCGAGACCGAATTTTGCGAGGGAAATTTTAAGAGATTTTTTTTATATGTCTGTCTTTCTAATATGGAAATTTTGAGATATCGAATTTTGAAATTATTAACTTTGCTGAGAGTACCTTACAATTTATTTCACCCTTTATTTTTATAAAAATTTTTTTTTCAAAGTTAATACCCGATGTTGAAGCTTTACTTGATTTTCATCTTTCATTTTTACGTAGTCTTATTGAACGTTGTTCTCAATCACCTATTGTAGATGAAATTTCTGATATTTTATTGACAGAATTTGGTTCAGGGAATTTTCGGTGAGGAAATTTTTTGAAGATTACTATAACATAAAGCCTATCATAATAAAAATTTGGTTGACCAAAGAGCTTTGGGAACTGCCCAATAGGGGATAGGCCTTGGGGGATACTTGAAACATGGACTCTTTTCAACCCGAAATCCGAAACCTAATTCTAAGTAAATTTCGGAAATCATTTCCTAAATTTTTAAAACCCCCAAGTCTCCTCAGCCTTACATACCTGCTGTATTATGCCGGGCTAGCACACAATTTGCTTGACCTTGGGGAGACTGGAGATACTCTAGCTCGAACATGGGGATACTCGAACATAGTTCAGGGAATCCCCCTTGCTGCTTAGGCGATAACCTCTATTTAAGATACCCTTAATATAAGGAATCAGCCCCAGAGGTTGCGTTTTGCGTTGATTTTTGGCCTTGCGTTGCGTTTCGCGTTTTTTGCGATTGCCTCTTGCGCTTACCCCTGATCAGCCCTATCAGGATATCTAGTATTAAGGTCCGATTTTAATTTTATTCCAATATATATTTTTTTAGTAATAATGCAATAAATTCATATACTGCCTTTTGTCTTGGCCGAGAAGATAGTGCAAAACAATATTCTACTTTAATTGCTCAAAATATACATTTTCGTAAATTTATGGAATATTACGAGGGACAACATAAAGATCGTTCACTTAAAGATTGTATGTTATTGGTTGCTCAAAGATTAACAAAATATCCTGTTTTGGTGGAACAGGTGTGTGGTGATAATAATTTTTGAATTAGAGGGTTTAGGGCAGTCATAGCAAGAGGACGATCAGTTTTTGGTGTTCAAAATTAGGAAAAGACCTGAACCTATCGGGTACTCGATTGATTTTGTTTTGTCAATATTTAGACATCTTTCGAGCCAAAGGGGGATTTTTTTGATTCCTCTCTTAGCCGTTTAAGAGGATTTATTCGTGTGTTTTATCGTCCGATTACTTTATTGGTTCGGTTTCTACTTTATATTTAACGTTGTCTGTTAGGAATCAGGGCTGTGAACCCCGAAATCCGGAATTTATTTGATGTACATATTGGCATGTTCCCCCCACGTTCCTTGATTTGAATCAAGCCGACGAACCGCAGAATTTTTTTGGTTCTTCAGTTCTGGATATCTTAAGGATTATTTAGAGACCGACGCAGACTCCTCTGTTCGTTCTCTCAATTTTTCGAGAATTTAATATTCATTTAAAAATAATTTATTTAAAATTAGATTGCCAAACAAGAATCTCAACCTTCAAAACAATTATTAGCTCAAAAAGCCCATTCTATAGTTCGCGAATTTGCAATGCAAGTAGATCAACAATTAATGCAGCATGAATTAAATAAAAAATGGACAGCTTTAAAAAAAGCTTTAGATAAATCTGCGGCTATTGCTAAATTGGTACTTTTTTTTATTTATTGTGTTGAAGGTTTCTTCAAGTGAATATGAGAGATTTCTGATATGATAGAATATTAGTTAAATAAATTTTAGGGTGTTGTATAGCTGAAACCTCGAGGGAATTGAGAAAATTCAGAACCAGTTCCTGTCATTTCAAAATCATAACTCTTGCCTGGTGGAGCTCCGGTCGGGAGGAGCTAGCTCAGAAGCCACATTTAAAGCCCAGCCCAACACTTGAGAGTAGGACTTCGATGTTTCGCTACTACCGTATTTTGACCTTTGAGGAAGGAATCGGTCTGCTTAAGAAATAAGTCGAGTCGGGGGTTTCAAAAGTTTCTCGGTTAGGGTTTTTTATTAAAATAAAGTCCAGGTATCGGCCCTCCATCTCTTGCTTCGAAGCACTTGGGGATTAATCTTCATCTTTAATTATATTAAAAAAATTTTTCTAGATTCATCCAAAAGATGGAATTGACTTTTCTTTTGATGATTTAGTTTGGCCTGTTGAAAATGACTCAACAATAACATTAACTAATTTAACAAAAACTATTGGAAGACGGCAAATTTTATTAATAACACGTGCTTTTTGGCGTGAAACAATGAATGGACCTGAACTTGAACGTAACATAAAAACATTTTCCCCCAAAAAATGTCTTTTTTTAGTTCGTTTATTACTCTGTGATGATGTTATTGTCTTCCTAAGACCTAAAGGTGGCGGTGGAGGATCTTCTTCATCTACAGTTAATGTTGGCTCAAATTCTAATGCTGCCAATACAAAATTGGTGAGAAGATTATCTTTTAAGAACCTTGACTTAGGCGATCTTAGGATACCCCCCCCCCATTAGGGCTGAAAAAATCAGGATTTGAATTCAGAAATTTGAGGTTACAAATTAGAGTCAAATTTCGGTTCCTATAGGTTTAGATTAGAAATCGAAGTGAGGATTAATAGGATATCTAGAGATTGCGAGGGTATATGAGTATATCGTGGGATTTGAGTGATTATCTCACTCTGTGCCTCCTTATGGCCTTTTTCGAGTATCGAGCTCTATTCACTTATGAATCCGGTCTGTTCTCTAGTTTAGATATGACATACAACATAACAGTTGACTTAATCCTGGACTTAGTCCGTAATCCGATCTCTAAACATACCGTATATCCTGTAATACCTACCCTGGGTAATTATTGTTTCGACCTTCCGCTGGAGGGAGTAATTAATCGAGGGAGGTTTGTTGGGAGGTAATTATTGTTCCAATCCATCTCTGGATGGGGTAGTTAATGGAAGTGGGGTAATTATTTGAGTGAGTGCAATTATTACGGGTTATATGGTACATGTATTTCTCTCTACAATCTTTTGGAATTTGAGAAATCCTTATGTGACTTAAAAATTTTTTTTTCAAAAAAATTTTTAGCCTCCACTTCAATTCTTTCGCCATATTTCTCATTCTGGTGTTTTACCACTTCACTCAATTTTAGTCCGTGGAGAAAATGTTCGAAGAAAGAGTCTTCTTTTAATTGTTACTGCAAAACAAAGACCAGACTTGTAAAAAAATTTTTTTTAATTTTAAAAAATTTCCCTTTAAAGATTTGAATTTGCTTTCCCAACAAGTGTTGAATTGGAAAATTTTGCTTTAGCTATTAAAAAAGCAAAGGCAGAAGCACCAAATTTTGTTCGTTTAGCAGATGGGAAATGTTTTGAATTTGCTGATAAACCTATTGGGGATGGAATGGGGAAACCTATAATTAATTCTGATGATTTTAAAACACAAATGGAAAATTGGAAATTGGAATTGGATCAACTTTTTGGTGAGACAGGGGATTTTTAGACTAATAGATTGTATTTGAGTATTTGTCATTGACGCCAAACTCTTCGATAAAGACCTCAGAAAGGATAAGGGTAACCACGATTTACCACATCCCCCAGTCCACCTTGATCTATTAAAAAAGCCCGATCCTCCATGAGGCTTATAAACTAAGCTTATGAAAGTGAGATTTAGTTGGGAGTTCATTAGGTTGGAAATTGGAATTGGGTCAACTTTTTGGTGAGGGGCTTGGGATTTTTAGACTAATAGATTTTATTTGAAAGTAATTTTTGTTGAGGTGTTAGAGGTTGTTCACAATCGGTTAAAATTTTTGCCTGCCCCCTATTATTCTCCATTTAACAAGCAAAAATTAATCGGTCCTAAACAATCCCAATTGAGGTCAAATCACCGAATGAGAACCTCAAAGGATAGGGGTAACGGTAATTTACCACCCAGGCCAGTTTATCTTGCTGCTTATAATTAAGCTTATGAAAGGTGACCTAGTCTCTCCCTAAAAACAAACTTTAAGAGCCCCCACTGTCCTTTAGTGTAAATCTGTGATGTCTAAAGTTAACTCGAACGGATACCCGAAGTCCTTACTTTTCTCCACCCAAGATATCCTTGTTGTATATCTTTACGTTTTGTTAGTTTTTGTATTGTTTTTGCCCTTTCTCGACTTTTAAAAATAAATTTTGACATTCTTACTTATTTTCAGAGCAACGTTCCAAGGAGGAAGCCGATTTGGAGCATTATTTTGAGGCTCGTATGCTTTTTATGGATCGGCTACGTACACTTGTTGAACGAATTCCACGAAGAAAAAATAAACAAAAGAAGAGAAGAAGGAGAAAGGTTGAAGATAATGAAGATAAAAATGAAGAAAATTTAACGAAGGACGAGGAAAATGAGAAAGAAGAGGAAGAAGGATATAGAATGCAGCAAAAGGCAGCATTTGAACATTTACGAAATCGTTTTAGGTAAAATTCAGAAGGGAAAAATTTTTTATTCGACGACTAGCGTGTTTTCTAAATTTAGTTACCCTCCCATAATGATATTGTCTTCCCTCAATTAGTCTTCCTTTTATTACAGGGAACAAGACTTGGAAAATTCAAATTTTCTATGACGGAATCGGCTTTTGTGAGAGAGAAAATTACCTCATAGAGCTGTCCAAGACTCCTAGGGTACATTTTCTAAATCTCAAAATAATTCGAGGAAAACTCCGAGAAATTCCAAACCTAGAACCTTCCAAACCTGGAAAACTTCGAGAAATTTAAGATCAAGAGTCTTGGACTTAAGACTAATAGTCTTGGATCTATGGGTTACTATAGGTTAATAAATATATGTAGCTGTGGCTCTCTCCTATTTTTTAATTACGTGGTTAACAATTTTAATTCATATCTTTTACAGAGAATTGGAACGAACACGTGTTGAGCCTCTTGTGCGTTTAATAGATAAAGCTAAAAAGATGAGAGATGCTGATCTAATTGCACTTTTTGATGATTTTTATGATTTGGGTGGAGAAGTACAACAACAACAAGAAGAGCAAGTAAAAGAAAAGTGTGTTGTAATAGCTACTGGAAGTGGAGATTCTGCTACATCAGCAGAAGAACAGCCACGAGCTTCTGATGAAGATAGAAGGCCTAAACCTAGAAGAGTGCGTACTTACCATGGAGCGACTGATAAACGAAAAAGTGGGGGATTTTTGGGAAATTTTTTAAAAAATTTAATTGACGGACCTCCCTATAAGGGACTCCCTTAGGGCTGGAAAAATTGGATCTTATAATGAAATGGATCTTGAATAGATGGTGTGATTTAGGCAGCTTCCTCATAGCTTAGCTCCTCTTTAGGCTCCTCTTAACAGCTTAGGCTCCCCTAACGTTCCCCTAAGAAGATGATTTTTATGATTTGGGTGGTATCTTAAATTACTGGGTACAATGTATCTTAAATTACTGGGTACATCTTATAAGGAGTATCTTTAAATAGAGGGAGGTGTATACTAAATATAGGCGATTTCTCATGGCCATACCAAATTTATCTATATCTCATGGCCATACCCTATCTCATGGCCATACCAAATTTAGGTGTTTTCTTAGATTGAGGGGTATCTTACCTAGACGGTATCACTTATGCTGCTCCCCCATTAAGATATTGGTAGAAGATAAGCTTTAAATTGAGTGGTATCTATTATTAAGTGTATTATAAAGAGTTTTTCATAATCTCGTATCATCTTTTAGAAGGAAATTCTGATGGTTCATCCTGTTCCTCATCTGGTGGAGCTAGTGCCATCCGTCGCCATACAACATTCCCTTCTAGTGGGCGTCATGATGCAAGTTCGGATGATGAGGATGATGAAGAGGAAGAAGATGAATGTTTACGTCAACTATTACCTCTTCGTATGGGTGCTGGAGCGCGTCGTGTAGCAACCGATTTAATTCGAGAAAATTTGCGTTTGCGCACACAACTTAATCGTTTAAAGGCTAAAACTGCATTGCAGGCAAGAAAAAAATATTAAAGAGTAAAATTGGAACTCATTAAAAGGCACCTCTACGGAGGTTATACCTTATAATGAGAGGTACCTTATATGGGGGTATGGATTAGTAGTTCTTATCAGGTGTGAGCGCAAGAGGCAATTGGGAAAACGGTAAAAAACGCAACGCAAGCCAAAAATCAACGCAAAAATGCAATGCGCTCATCCCTGTCTCCTATGCCCTTAGAGGATGCCTCGGGTTGAGAAAAGGATATGATCAAGCTTTTGTCAAAAAAGGCGAGTGACCCTCAACATCACTAATTACCCTTGAACCCTTGACATCCCCAATCATAATGGGAGTGTTTTTATAATGAGGCTTGACTGAAAATATTTTAAAATTAATTTAATTAAAAATTTTCTTTCCAGGAAATTTGGTTAACAGCGGCAATGCAAAAAGTAATTAATAATGATGAAATAATTATTAAACAAGAAGATGAAGAAAATAAACAATTAAAAGACGAAGAATTAGCTTTAAATGAAACAAAAGTTTTGAAAATAATGGCCCGCGATCTAGCTCGTCGTGAGGCAGAAATTGAACGAAAAGAGGTGGGTAATGATTTTTAGTCAGTAGAAATTGATATTCTGAAAAATAATTGCAATGGAACACAGCGCAGTTCCGGAAAATATACCTATTCTGAAAATTAATTCTGATTTCTTAAAAATAATTCTGAAATTAATTCTGATATTTTAAAAATAATTCTGAAATTAATTCTGATTTAAAAAAAAATTCTAAAATCAATTCTGATTTTTAAAAAAAATTCTGAAATTAATTCTGATTTTTTTTTAATTCTGAAATTAATTCTGATTTTTTAAAAATAATTCTGAAATTAATTCTGATTTTTTATAAATAATTCTGAAATTAATTCTGATTTTTTAAAAATAATTCTGAAATTAATTCTGATTTTTTATAAATAATTCTGAAATTAATTCTGATTTTTAAAAAATAGTTCTGAAATTAATTCTGATTTTTCTCAACTATTCTGAAATTATTTATGTTAATAATTCTGAAAATTTATTCTGAAAAATTTTCCGGAACTAAAAGCGTAAACGTTTTCCGGAAAATAGAGACAAAATAATAACATAGAGTAGAGAAAAATAAATTATATTAATAAGTACAAGTTGGTTAGAGAGTAAGAGAAGGTTATGGCTATTTTTAAATTTTATCGAAAAAATTTTTTATTTAAATTTTAAAAAATTTTAAAAATATTTTTTAATTAAAATAAAAATTAAAAAAAAATTTTTCCAGGCACAACTTAAAGCTCGTGAAGAGGAAACATTACCAACTTTACCATCAACTCAACAAAAACCCTCCTCCTCCTATCAACACTCACCATCTTCCACTTCTTTACAATCTCCTTCAAACACAAAATATTCAAATATAGAAAAGAAAACATCATTTAAAGGTAATAAACAACAAAAAAATCATCAACAACAATTATTACAACTTGAAAAGCAAAAAGAGTTTGATCACCACCAATCAGTTACTACAACTACTTCTCCATCAACTTCGACAAAATCTACAACTACAATGTGTGTACATATTTTTTTATTTCAAAAATCATAGAAATGATTAAACAATTTTTTGACTTTTTTATTATCCAACTACCGTATTTACTGAAATAATTACCCGGGGTAATTATTGTTTCAATCTCTCGCTGTAGGGGGTAATTAATAGGGACTGGGTAATTATTTGAGCAAATACGGTAGGCTTTTTTCGAGACTATTTTTTGAGCCAATTTTTGCGTTATCTGAACACACGTCTTTAGGATCGAGTTGGGCCATTTGTAAACCCTGATACAGTAAAATATCATTAATACATCTCTTTAATTGCAAGTCGCTCTCGTCGTTTCAACAGGGGTCCCAAGGGCGACGTACTAACGAGATTCCACTATAATAATAGTAGAGTTAAAATTGAATAATGCTGGATTTGATTTCCGGATAGTAAATTTTTTTTAACTTGACTAGATTTTCCGGATCTAAATCCGGATTATTTAGACCCGGATCCGTTTCAGGATTTCAAAAAAAAAATTTCGGCTGCAATTTATTCGACTACTACCCCCTGTTTCTATATACCGAATATGCTCTATTAATTACCCTCTATCAACTAATTACCCCCGCTCTATTACTTACTCACTCCAGCGAGAGATTGAACCCAGGCTAATTATTAGAGCATATACGGTACCTATTTTATTAAGCCAACTTTTATTTCTAATTTGAACCGGAGCAGTCCGAATTTCTTGGATTTTACTTTCCCCTGCTCTCTCTCATATCCTCTCTTAGGCTTAACCTTTAGGATCGAGCTGAGCCTTTAAAAATAAATTAAAAATTTTTTTCTTCAAATTTCTAGTCGAATAAACAATACTTATTGTGGTGCTGGACCTATACCAACATCAACATTAACAAATAGTAATAATACCAAAAATAATAGCAATACATTACTTCCTTCCTCAATAAGTAATAGCCATTTAATTCAATCAAATAAACAACAATTTAATAATAATAAAAAATGTTCAATAACAATGTTAGAACCAAATAATAATCAAAATAATAATATTTCTTTTGAACGTCGAGCATTAAGTCATGCTGAATTGCCTGTTCATTTGGCTGTAAAAACTGAGACAAAACAGAGAAGGAAATGAAATATAGAATGAATTTTTTTGATTGAAAAATTTTTTTCTTAATTTAAAAAATAGAGGAGAGTCTGTACCAGACCGTTTCAAAATTCTTTCTTGATTTTCTTAAAAATTTTATTAATTCTTGGCTTTTATAATATACAGTCTTGAATAGGGTTGAGGTTTTCGTTCGAGTCATCTTTTTTATCGGGCTGGCCCGTCCGAGTCTTTATCGGGCTTCATTTTTATCGGGCTGGCCCGATCGAGCTGTTTCAGGCTTAAATTTGCTGCCCGACTCAATCTTTAGGACCGGACCCCCAACCTTAGTCTTGAAGCTTGATTT